GTTTCAATCACCAATATTGAATGTTAGTTGTAGGTTTCAAGCTTTGGAAACTTTTGTTGTGTGTATAACTAGAGAAAACTTAGATCCAAAGCTATTAGGGTTCTATGTGCACCATAGGAGTGTTATAGTACATAAAACCCAACACAAAATACATTTCTTCGGAAATGATTTGATAATATCTTTATCATGTTTTTTGGGAACAAATTCCGAAATATTATTCTTTAAAATGGATACTCTGATTTTTATATAAGCATAAATAAAATTTTTAAAATGACCATGAATTTGGGGATGTTACAAAATGATGTAGGGAATGAGTACGCATGGCATACTCCCAGAAGTGGAATTGGGTCGTTTTTGGGATTTGGGCAATGTTTGGTGGGGCTAGCTTGCAAAAGGGTAGAATGGTCTTTTACCTTAGAGAGAGTGTGTTTTGGACCCTTGATTATGATTATTACCTTAATTATTAATTAGGGTTGGTTTTAATATGTTTAGTGTGAGGAGCTTTTGTAGTAGCAGCGTGTGTGAGAGATATGGTTATCTTCAGATTGAGGTAAGTCTTCTCATTGTACTTGTAGGTCGGAGGTACCAATACCGGCTCACATGATTATGATATGTAGGAAGACCATGTGGTGGCCCCTGGAAAATACATGTAAGACCTAGAGGTGGCTCCCGAAAAATTGTATGCAAGACCAGGGTCTAGACCCTTGCAGTTATATGTAGGATGCTAGTTGTCTTTGTGATACTTACATGGAAGACAGGGAGGTAGCTCTTGGCACATGTTTGTAAAACCCGGGTTTTGGCCCCCGACTTGGCAAGGAAAGACCATAATACGTATCATGGAATAATGACAATTATAAGATTATGGATGGCACATAGCAATCTTTATTCTATGTACGTTGTGTAGTATTTTGGAGAATTCACTAAGCTTTGTGTTTACGGTTTCATGTTTATGGTTTCATGTAGTTCCGATTCTAAAAGGAAGGGCCCGACGTGACTGCATAACATCCCTCAGATTTTTCATATTGGCTATATATGACTTTTACTCTAAGGTTTAAATGATATAATCACTTTGATTGGTTAACAACTTATTTGTATGGTTTATTGTTTTAAAAATGAAAATTTTACTTTAAATTTTTGGGACGTTACAGCCAACCTGAGTTGCATCGAGTTGTGATTCTTGATATTCTTCAAGTTCCACGCATCTCCTACTTGCTATATCCATTAGAAACTTGTTTCCTAAGAATTCAACTTTTCGTGAAATAAATATATTATTCTCACTACGGATATAGAAGTAATAACCTAAACAATCTTTAGGGTACCCTACAAAGATGCATTTGGTAAATCTAGGTTCGATTTTGTGTGAAGTTTCCTATCTAACATAAGCTTCACAACTCCAAACCTTAAAGTAAGATAAGGATGAAGTTTTTCCATACCATATCTCAAATGGTGTTTTGTCTACCTTTTTAATTGGAGCCATATTCAAACTACGTGCAGCAGTAAGGCATAACTCCAAAATGATAAAGGGAGAGTACTTCTACTCATCATAGATCGAACCATGTCAAGTAAAGTTTGATTCCTACTCTCAGATACACCATTAAGTTGCAATGTTCTCGGTGGAGAAAGTTCTGAGATAATCCAACAACTTCTAAGATGATCTTGGAACTCTTGGCTCAAGTATTCGCCACCTCTATCTGAACGAAGGATTTTAATTGTCTTGTTGAGTTGATTTTTAACTTCACTTTGAAACAGTTTCAACAATTCAAGTACGTCATGTTATGTTAGATTAAGAAAACACAACCAAAACGACTGAAGTCATATAAAATAACAATTATTAAGCAATGATAGAAAATATGTATGGACTTATTTTTTTAACAAAAAACAAGTTATCCATATTTTCCAAAAACTAAGATTATCTAAATAATCAAAATTCTAACCAAGCTTGCAAGATGACGCAAGTTGACTCTGTTATCATTTGTTTGGGTTTTATGGAAAAAAAAATAAGACAAAATTTATAAAATTCTTATAAGTCTGTATAAATAATAAAACCTTATCGCTTTAGCTAAAAGACAAAACTCTTTATAGTCCAAAAAGATGTATATGACTTAATAAATCATATCTTATGATCCATGTTTTGAAAACCAGACCGGACCGGCCGGTTCGACCGGTTCAACCGGAAACCGGTCCCGGATCCGGTTCTTAAATGCCAAAAAACTGGTATTCGTGTGAACCGGTGAAAACCGGTCCGGTTGAACCGTTAAAACCGGTTAAAACCGAAAATTTTAAAAAAAATTTAATTTTTTCATTTTTGTATTTTTTATATAATTAAATATAATTATGACATCATGCCGTCGAAAATTATTTTTTTCATAAATAAATAATTCTCAATTAATTATAAGAGTTTATGAATATTTATCAAGTATTAAATTCTTATAAATAATCAATTGTATCAGGCTATTGCTAGTAATTTAATATGACCTTTAAGTTCATATATTAATCAGTAATATCAGTATATTATGATTATTGCACAAATATCTTTCACTTCTCATGTACACTATTTTGCTATAAGATTCCTAAATTTAGTATTCTATAAATCTACATATCAATTGACATGATACAAGATGTAGTTTCTTAACTAATCAAAATAAGCACATATGACCTAATGTTGTTACTAGTTGTTATCCTAAAGCACTTATTCCTCACTAATCTTCATAATTTAAGCCTAAGTTTGGAATTTTCAAACCTAATTCACTTAAATTAAGACTTTAATACCAATTCGTAACACATATTTTGTGCATTTAAATCCCATAATTTTTAAACATCTTATGACATAAAGTCAATCTTATGTCATAAAGTCATATCTGGTAAATTTGGTCCCATTATAAACATTTTAAAAGTAATAGTTTGGCTGGGGGTCATAACTTCATATTCAAATTACAGTATTCAAATTATAGTGAAGCATATTACATACATACAAAAGATAAATCAAATTAAGTAGTTCAATTACAAGTGCTTTACTTCTTATAACATCAAAAGTATATCTTCGTGTTATACCGAAAATTCAATACTTCTAATGATTAAGGGGGTGTTTGACTTAGCTTTTTAAGGGTCAAAAGTCCTTTTTGGAAAAGTTGCAAAAAGTCAGGTTTTCCTGACTTTTTCAAAAAGTTGATTTTCATTCTATCAAAAATCCAAAAGTAGGTTTTAAAATTGTTTTGCCAAACATCTTTTGGCTTTTATATTTTTCTAAAAGATCTTTTGGCTTCTCAAAAGCTAAGCCAAACACCCCTTAAGTCCTACTTCTAAGTTATCTTAACCTAAAACATATGGCATTAGAAAAAGAACATGTACAAAATCTTTCATGAATTACACTAATTTTAGACATAAATATTTCCAAACATGTCAATCATTTTCACTTTAGAAATATGAGAATCATAAACTTCCATTAGAAAATATTTTATCAAAATCATTTGTTTTAGATAATAGGTTTTCAAGACATATAATAAGCTTTACTTGGAAACATAAACTTATGAATCTTAGTATAGCTTCACTTGACTATGAATCATATTATAATCATCTCTTGAAAACATAAGCTTATAGAACATAATATAAACCTTACTTAAAAACACATGTCATGAGTAAATGATATGTATACAATGCATCACCACATTCCGGTATAAGCTATCAGGCAATTATGATTCATTGTTTCATTCATATTTATCCGTTGTGTACCAATTCATTGATTTCTTTCATAGCTATTGGCTATTTACCGATTCATTGATTTCATTCATAAATATTGGTAATGTGCCAATTTTATTCATTGATATTATTGGTTCACTGACTTCATTCATAACTATCGGTTATGTACCGATATATTGCTCTTAGGGCCCGATCATAATCGATAATCGGTGACAATATGATAAGTTTATCAAAATAAAAAGAAGAAATGAATCTATTAATATATCATAAGAGGTAGGCGTGTTCAGCAAAATTAGTGTGTACCCATTAGCTGGTAGTGTGTAGCGTGTAACTAGTAACGTTTTGTTAAATGCTACGTGAAATAATTTTTGGATTTTGAATGTTTTATTTAAACTAAATGCTAAAAACTTATATTATCAAACGAGGTTTTTTATTCAAAATAAAACGTTTTATCGAACATTAAAAATTTCCAAACTTTTCATGTCGAATTAGCATGTAGTCTACTTTGATTGTGTGAATTAACGGGGTCAAGCTGCCCGAAAACTCCCTTTAGAAAGTTCCATTTCTAAAAAAAATCATTAATTGCCAGGTAATATCCAATAAAAGTCCTCTAAGATAATATTTATTAATAATTTTTCGTTGATGTCGATATTATTATTTACAATTTCCTCACTCCCCCAAAATAAACAAAAGGCCAACGTACAGAAAATGACAAAGTTAATAAATAAGTGGGTATCTTGCATATGTCTTTTTAATTGAGAGAAAATTGTCGCGTTTATACGAAGAAGACGATTTTTATATGTTATAAATTAAAAATAAAAGTTAAAAGTATCGGTACCATAATATAAAAAAACACCATGTTAGGCAAAAAAAATGTCAAACGCAAGTACGCAACCATGTTTTTGATATTTTTTCGTGACTTGTTAAAAAAAACATAACAATTCATTTTAAAATCTTGGGATCTGATAAATAGCAAAACAATGAAATGGACGACACAAAATGAATACAACAAATGTTTATTTATTTGTTTATCATATCATGTTATTTGTATTTATTTCTAGTATAATATTGTATATTTTTTATTAAGATATTATATTTTAAAAAATTATATATTTATAATAAAATAATTTCATTATTATAATAACCTTATATATAGAAAACTATCAAATTACTTTCATTTTTTTATTATTGTTATGACTTATAACTAAATAGATTTATTAAATGAAAATTTTGTTGCTTTTTTCAGAGTAGTTTTTTATTTTATTGCAATTATATGTACGGTATGCATAAAAAGTTGTACATTTATGTTCAATTTGAGATTTTCAACTTTAACGTCAGTTATATGTACGGTATGCATAAAAAATCAATGTTTTCGCGCAAACCATCGTCTCAAATCCCAATTCTCTCTCTCTCTCTCTCTCTCTCTCAAATTATTAATCAATTCTTTAACTATAGAAAGGGTCTTCCTTCGTACAGTGGTAAGCTCCATCGTTTCTTTCAAAACTTCACTCAAATTGGGTTCTTGAGTTGACCCAAATCGAATCTCGACGGAGTATTTGCAATCGCCGGTGACTTGTTTGAGATTTCGAGAAACCGGCGAAGATTGGCTTTGAGTTTTCTCGAAATAGTGATCGAGAGTGTTGTTTGACTTATTATGTAGTCAAAATCGATGAAGTCTTTAGCAATGTGCTGTTTTGGGGGAAAAATACGAATCTGATTTGTTGTTTGTTCCTCTAAATTTCTCCAATGGGTATTTGTTTCAGTTCCGAATACGATGCAAATCATTCTTTCCAGTCGACAAAAGGTACTCTTTTTCTTTAACATTTTGCAAGATTCTCATAAGCGTTTTTTATGTACGTTTTAGAGTAGATTCGATTAGTTTTGTTAAAGATTCATGGATTCATAGATTGTAACTCTAAAATCACGTATTCTATTTGGAAGATTCGAAGTCAAATTTTGAAAAATTTCAGGTGAAATCGGACAATATCCCACCAAAGAAAAATGTACATCACCGATTAAACCAAGAATCATGGAATCACCTCACATGAAAAGTCCTAGAAATGGAATGGTGATAAAAAAAGATGTTAAAGATCTTCGCAAGAATCCTGGATATGGTAATCTTGATGTTTTCACATATGAAGAAATGCGAATTGCTACAAAAGTTTTTAGACCAGATCAAGTGTTAGGTGAGGGTGGTTTTGGAATTGTTTATAAAGGTGTTATAGATGAGAATGTGAGAGCTTGTTATTCAAAAATTCAAGTTGCTATTAAGGAACTTGATCCAGAAGGAATCCAAGGAGATAGGGAATGGCTGGTATGTACTTTTTGCATGTGTTTCTTTGTCTATATAATCTTTCAAATATTTTGTACTTTTTGTCACATTTAAAAATTAAAATAATAATAATAATAATAATAATGACAATGTTGTTCTTATCTTCTATCATTAAAAATATCCTTAAAAAATTTATTGAGTCTCGTATAATAAACATAGACTAATGGGAATGTATGTAATTTTTCTTGATTTGCATTTATGTTTGACATACACACGTTCATTGTTAATCAAGAAAGTGTAACGTACGTTCATTAATTTGTTTATTATAGGTCATACTTCCCATTTCTTCCTGTTAAAACATGATGTTATAATTGAAAAATAAATGCAAAATTCAAAGTATAATGTCTTAATAAAAAAAAATGAAAACATGATCAACTATAATAAACGAAGATTCATGTTGCCATGTGTCAATCTCTCATCAGTTTTGATACTTGTAATTTTATTATATTTTTGAAATTGAACTAAATAATATCCAAATGTCAATTTCTAGGTTTTTTCAACTTTTAAATTAAAAAACCACTTAATACTTCCATATTTATATATGTAAAATATTAATTTTAATAAATGTCATACTAATTATAACTAATAGGCTTTTTCATTCCTTATTGCAAAATTTTATTTAAAAAATACTCAATGTTACATTTTAATATGTAATCTTTTGATTAATCAATCCCTATAATACACTGATTTTATAATACACAAGTAAATGAAAAGGAAACATGGATACGTAGGTTACAAGATTAATTTTAGTAAACAAAAAAAAAAACATTTTTATTAATATTCTTATCTGCTTTTCAGACTGAAGTCAATTATTTAGGTCAACTACAACACCCTAATCTAGTGAAGCTTATTGGCTACTGTTGTGAGGAAGATCATCGGCTTTTGGTGTATGAGTATATGCCATCTGGCAGTTTGGAAGATTACCTTTTCCGTAGTGAGTGCCTAATATTTTATCAAAATTTTTTTTTATGAAAAAGTGATTTTTTTAAAAACTTTTTCACTTGAATTGAATTTTTTTGGAAATCTTGTGTTATTATGATTTATGACTAATATTGGATTGATGTAAAAAGGAGCATCTGCGACACTGAATTGGTCAAAGAGAATGAAGATAGCTTTGCATGCTGCAAAAGGGCTTGCTTTTCTTCATGATGCAGAAAGGCCGGTGATTTATCGAGATTTCAAAACATCAAATATTTTGTTAGATGCGGTTAGTTTGTATTTAATCCTTAAAAATAATAGGGGAAAAAAAAAAAGATGTAGAATATTATTCTAATTTCCTACTTGTTCTTATGAAAAAAAATTAAAATTGAAGGACTTTAATGCAAAATTATCGGATTTTGGACTTGCAAAAGATGGGCCAATGGGAGATCAAACACATGTGTCGACACGAGTTATGGGTACTTACGGATATGCAGCTCCTGAGTATATCATGACAGGTGAAATTTTTTGGATATATTTTTATTTTCTCACAGTTCCTTTTTTTTTTTTTTTTTTTTTCTTTTTACATTTTATTTTATCACTTCATCGGTTTTAAGAAAGTATCCATTAATAGATTGTGTTAATGCCTCAAAATCATGATGAAAAATATCATCCATTAGTACTCACTACTCAGTGTTTGATGCATGAAATCTATATATAACAAAAAGAAATAGACAAATAGTAAGACTTGGTGCTAAAAAAGATTAAGTATACACATCAAATAATTGAGTTATAAATAACTTGATTTGACGTACGAAATTCGAACTTTCATTAACTTGTCATTTTTGGGAATTAAAAGGTGTTCTTGTTAATTTCGGTATTAGGGTTGTATTTGTTATGTATTGGACTTCAACTGCAATTAATGTCAATGGAGCCAAATTGCAATTTTTTTCCCACTTAAAAAAGGTGGAGCAAAAACTCGCTATTGATCCACTCTTCAATTATATTATCTTTGTAAAAGGATTCGAAACTTTGGTTCTTTTTTTCCCAAAAAAATAACTAAAATATGTTTTTTTTTTTTTTTATAAAAAGTTATTATTTTAAGATTTTATGATTGTTTGGATTCATTTTGCAAACAATTTTTTCTTATATGTATATAGCATATATTTTTTTTACAAAATGAAATGTGTTTCTATGTAAATTATTTAAGGGTTTAATGTAGAAAAATCTAATTATTTTGAATTTGTTTTTGACAAAGTCCTAAATTTTTTCTTTTGAATAGAAGTTACTTGATTATTTAACATTTTATACAAATTAACGAAAAAGTCCTTTTTATTTTAATAAGAAATGACAGATTATGTGATTTTCCCAAAATAATTGAACATTTTTGTTATAAAAAAACATTTAGGACTTTATTAAAAAAATTCTCAAAATAACGAGACTTTCTTGCATAAAGCACATTATTTAATGGTGTCTTTGTTTAATCTAAGTTTATCTTCATAAATAATCAATATGATTGTACTTATTTTCTCTTTGCGCATAAAAACAACATATTTAAATGGCCTATTCCTTTCAGTCATGAGCCCGAGCCCATGTCTTTTACAGAGATGAGATATCAATAGTGAGTCCATGTCCCACCTTTTTAGACGGCACAAAGAAATAGCAACTTTTATCACATCAGTCTTAGTCCAATGCACCTCAAACACAGTGTCTTACATAACAAATGGAGCTTACAAATATTTTGATGAAAATTTCAGGACACTTGACAGCTAGAAGTGATATATACGGATTTGGAGTGGTGCTTCTTGAGATGTTGATCGGGAGGAAAGCCATGGACAAGAGTCGGCCTAGCCATGAGCACAATTTGGTGGATTGGGCTAGACCGCTTTTGACCCATGACAAGAAACTTTTAAAGATACTAGATCCTAGAATGGAAGGTCAATATTCATCCAAAGAGGCTATAAAAGCGGCTAATTTGGCTCACCAATGTATTAGTCAAAACCCGAAAGGTAGACCGGCTATGGGTAATGTTGTTGAACTGCTCGAGTCTCTTCAAACCAATGACGTTGTTGGTCTAGAAGAGACTCGAACACCAAGATTAGTGAAAAAAAGCCCCCAAAGGGGGTTTTGAAGAAACAATAATTGTTGGGAAATGAATTCATGATAATGCATGTTTTTACCCTTTTTCTTTTATCTATACATGTCTTGTTTTGATTTTCTAGAAATCGAAGGTAGGTGTCGTTATGGGTTAATGAAAATGACAAATCAACTATACGTCCCTTTTATATTTGGGTCAGAAATTATTAATGTAATAGTATTTTTTAACTTTTTTTTTAAGTTAAAATTTTGACTAAATTACAATTTTGGTCCGTGAGGGTTTTCCGATTTTGGTGTTTTGTAATATTTTGGTTGGTGTTTCAAGTAAATTACTATTTTAGGTCCTTGAATATAGCTGAATTTGCAATTTCGGTCTAAACTTATAGTCATATTACTTGGAATAGGGATGAAAAATATTACCAAAACCTCAAATAAGGACAAAAAAATTCTCATATTTAACACATTTGTGTATAAATTATATAATGTCTGAATGATCTAAAATATTGAACATATCATCTGTTATTTACATATAACTCCTGAAAATAAACCTAATTTTTATCGGTTTGCCAAATTTTAGATTCCAACAACTCCATTTTTTGAATTTTTGAAACTAATCGGAATGTTTAAGCTCAAGATATTTCATATATGCAAACTTGAATACCAAATTCAAACATAAAAAATTAACAAAAACATAGTAGTAGAAATATTTATTATAAATTATTAGAGATGTAAATGATGAGAACAAATCATTGCTTTTAAAATCATTACATCATATAGAACAATTGTTGAGAGAATGGTTTAAAAAAAACATTCTCTGCTACTAAAGCAACTTTCTGTTTTTCTTTTTTTCTTTTTATATTCAGATAAAAAAAACAACATACCACAAGCACAAACATCTAATGAGCATCCCTCAAAAAGTCATCTCAGGAGCATTTTCCTACACACCCAAAAAAAAAAAAAAAAAATCAAAAATCAAATTTCAAGACATTTATTTAGAAATCTCCACTTATTTTACTAATCAACATATAAATTTTGAATATAAATAACAGTTAAATTCTTGTTTATCCAAAACATTTAAAAATGAAAATTTTGTTGCATAAAAAAAAGGAAGAACATTAACATTGTTGTATAAAATATAAATAGGTGTTTACTTACCCCAAACTTGATGCATTTTTGTTACTAATTGTGCTATTGATCTTCTTGATGTAGTATTTGGTAATTCCATGTTCATAGCTTCCTGAACTCCTTGTTTTTGCAGTGAGTAGAAGGTGGTTTGATCCATGGACACCACTTAATTCCACCACCTAAATAACAATATAAACCTTAGACTAAAAATTATTAAATAGAAAAAAATGAATGTTCAAAACATGAAATTTGCAAAATTTGACTTTAGACATATAGTTGTTTGCTGTTTATCAGATATATGCAAGCAATATTTTAACAGAAAGTGGTTACCTCAGTTTGTGGACAGATTAAATGCTTATTTATGTAACAAGGTATTGTTTTTTTACCAATCTAAGAAACAATGTTTCACTTTTTTTCCAATTCATGCCACAATGTTTCACTTTTTTACCAATTTATGTCACAATGTTTCACTTTTTTTTTTTTTTTACCAATTTATGCTAAATGTTTCACTTTTTTTACCAATTTAGGGATGCCAAGGCTTAAACCTAAGACCTCATTTATGGACTTCTTTTCAGTAACTTATTTAGTAATAAAACATGAACAACAGTAAAAAAAACAAATCCCAATGTAAAAAAGTTAAGAGAATTTATAAAGAATAATAAAATTTTACTTGATGTAGCCATGGGATTATTGAGTTCATAAACCGTTGTTCTGACAAGAATGTTGCCAAAGTGCTAACAATCACATTCACAGTCATGTGTGATAATTTTTCCAAAACGGGGCCCGTTTTGTCAAAAAGATACACTAATGCCACATCATCACAAGAATTCAAGGCATCAACATATGCAGCATCCAAATCTTTCTTTCTATTTATAGCACTTCGGATTCCCAGTCTAGAGATGTCCTTTTGTGTGTCTTGACTACATTGTTTCTACTTATGGGGTCCATCCATGAGTCTATGCCTTGGTTGGTTGAATTTCCGGATTTACCCCTACAAAATGTGGAGTCTTCAGAAGCATCGGATTGTTTGGGGGGCTGTAATGGAGATTGTCTAGTGAGTGTATCTAGTGATTGCCTTGGAGTGCATGTTGAGGGTCTTGTAGAACTTTTTTTCAAAAAATTGGAGGTTGATTTTAAATTTCTTCCTTTATGATCATCAATGTTTTGTGCCATTTGATCCACTACATGTTCCAAACTTGACACCTTTGATTGTATTATTAACAAGCTATATGTTGTCTTGCTTGTAAACCCCTAATAGAAAATACAACAAAAAGTACATTAACAGTGACAGTGACAGTGACAATGACAATGATAATAACAATGACAGTGACAGTGATACTGGTTATGAGTAACTATAACGACCCTAAGTGACAGTGACCGTAAAACTGACTATGAGTGATAGTGACAGTGAAGTGACTGTGACTGCGACTATGACTGTGACTGTAACAGTGACTGTGACTATGACCGTAACAGTGACCGTAACGACTATGAGTGACTGTGACCGTAACACTAACTATGAGTTCCAGTGACAGTGACTGTAACAGTAACAATGATTGTGACTGTGACTGTAACAATAACTATGAGTGACTGTAACGACTATGAGTGACTGTGACCGTAACACTGACTATGAGTGCCAGTAACAGTGACAGTGACAGTGACTGTAACAGTAACAGTGATTGTGACTGTGACTATAACAATAACTATGAGTGACTGTAACGACTATGAGTGACTATGACCGTAACACTGACTATGAGTGCCAGTAACAGTGACACTGACAGTAACAGTGATTGTGACTGTGACTGTAACAATAACTATGAGTGATTGGGACTGGGACTGGGAATTAAGAAAGTAGAGAAAAGATTTTATGACCTTCAAAAGATACAAGAGATTTGATTGTTTGTTATCTATATCCTGAAGCTTCTCTCGAAACAAACTAATTTCTTTTGTTGTTTTCATGCAACATCCATGAATAGATTCAGAAACCGATTCTCTAACATTCGATTCATTACTTTTACAATCCTCAATCTTTGAATAGTATCTTTGTTCTTCACTACTCATTTCTTTATCCACTAGTAATCGATTCACTCCCATCAATTTAGCTTCAAATTTTTCGGTGTCAATATTGGATGTAGAAGAGAACTCATGTTTGTCATCCATGGGCACGTATTCATATCCAATATCTTGAGTACTTGTGAATGTTTTTGTAACAGAACTTCCTTCAGATTCTTCATCTTTAGGATATAACAAAAAATAATTGTGTGTATTTGGGACACTGACTTTAATATTCCAATCATTTGGTTTGGAATTATGAGGACTTCCCACATTACTACTACTATCATTCTTTCTAATTGAAAGTTTGTATCCTTCACTTTGGACTCATTATAATCACCTCCTGAAAGTTTTAGCTTAATGTTTATATTTTATTCGAAAACAAAACTAAATATGTAAGAAAATGTCATGAAGAATTTAACAGTTCCAAAATCCAAACCTTTAATAGAAGATCGAGCTTCTGAGCATTCAAAAGCATTAGTTTCTTTAAGACTTCTCCAGAGCTGTAAGGCCTGCAGTACTGTGTCCCTAACTGGTTTGACCTATATGATCAAATGGGTAGATTTGGAATAAGTTTTTCCAAAAAAGAAGAAAAGAAAATTGTTGCATTTTTTTGTGATAACTCAAAATAAAAGTGTTACAAGTTGATTGAAGATTGAAGATTGAAGAATAACACAAACCTTGTCAAAGCGACATAATTCAAGGGAGTGTATAGAAGATGATTTGAAAGATCCAAAATATGATGCATTACTTGATGCAAATTCTGCTAATGCTAAAGATGCAACTTTACGTGTACTCCAGTCACTGTTCTTAAGAGCTTCTTGAATGCTAGTCATTGTAACATTTAAACTACTTTCTGTTGAGGCCCCTCCTGCCTGAAATTGAATAAGAACACTTAAAAACTCTAGCATTTAACAAAAAGAGTTAACTCAAAAGTCAAAATTGACCTGAATGATACTTCTGTTTAACTCAATAATGGTAGGTTTCACCATGAAGTGTGGATTATTGAGCAACTTTGTTGTCTTTATTAACATTCTTTGTAGAATAGACACTGGAGGATCCATTGCATTGTCAATCACCCGAGCTAAACAGAGAGCAGAACCATTTTGAACATGTTTATTTTGCTCACATATTGCTTCAAAAAGAGGTTTCACTAAAATAACAAAATTTCCCTCAAATGAAGTTAATATGGATGCTAAAACACCCATGGTATCCATACAAGCATCTCTCACAACAGCATCAGGATCTTTTAGTCTTTTCACTATGCTACAAACCATTTTTCCTATGTGAGGACCAATGAGATCATGGTGGAAGGTTGCGAGGGTACCCATGAGTCTGATACATTCCTTACGAACAACCTTTTTCTGCTCTGAATCTGTGTCTAAGATGCATGACAAAAATGGGGACACGTTTTTTGGAGTTAAACTTTTGATTATTCTTTCAAGCTCATCAACCCCAATTTAGTATGTATCTCGATCATATACCTTGTTTAGTGCAAGAACAACGCGAGGTTTTAGCTCAAATGTAGCTTGTTGGTTGTTAACCCTAGAGGTGGTTCCTCTCAATTTCAAATGCGCCTGCATCTTTTCGAGACGCTTGTGTTTACCTTATTAAAACTCCATTGAAACAGAACAAACTGCAGGGAAATAGAAAGAACTCATTACGTAAAAGGGAATTGCTTGTGATACTTCAGAAGAACACTGAATTCAATCGAAATTCAAAGAGAAGAGGGAAAACTTACATTGGAGTGTAACCGATTGCGATGTTCCAATCCATAAATTCAAACCCTACATAAACACAAATGAAGAAAAAATTTGGTCAAAACGAGAGCGTAATCTACTTTAACGTTGATACACATAGTAATTACCTTTAAATCAATCAAAAACAGTGAGATTTGTTTGTTGATTGTGATTACATTAGTTTAAAATCAAATTTGTGGATCTGATAAAGAAATTTACATCAGAAATGGGAATCTGTAATAAAGATGGTAGTCGAAGTTCGAGGAAATCATACCCCTTAATTATTATAATAATTTGAATTCAAAAGGTGGTGTTCGTTTTTCTCTGTTTTCGTGCTTTTAAGATTCCACATTCGAATTTGGAGTGATATTTATAGAGTTGCTACGTGTCTCCTATTGTTTGTACGTTCCTCAGTAAAAATTCCTTTGTTTTAGAGTGAGATACAATTTTCGCCCCTAGGGTATACATATTTCTACAAGTTTGGTCTTAGTTTTGAAGTTTTGAAATTTTGACACCACTATCCTCATGGTTGGCAAATCCATCGTAGCTTTGATCCAATTCCCGGTTACTATCTAACTCATTGAGTAGGGTTGTAAACAAACTGAATGTTTAGCGAAATGTTCGTGAACCGTTCGGTAGGAAGTTCGTTTATGTTCGTTTAATTAATAAATGAACGAACATGAACACAAATTCTTGATAGTTTAGTTAAACGAACAAACATAAACAATTGTTTTATTTGTTTGATTACGTTCGTGAACATTCGTTTATGTTGTCCGTTTACGTTTGTTTATGTTCGTTTATATAAGTTCCTTTTATGTTCATATATTCTTAATTGTGTTTGATTACATTACTATATTATATGTTCATTTATGTTCATATAGGTTCAATTATGTTTGTTTATCTTTGTTCATTTATGGTCGTTTGTTTATGTTCATTTAACATGTTCATGAACATAAACGAATGAACATGAACAATGTAATTTATTAAACGAAGGAACATGAACAAGAAAACTTGTTTGTTTATCCGTTCGTGTTCTTTTATTTGTTTGGCTAACTTAAACGAACAAACATGAACAAGCCCCCGTTCTTGTTCGTTCGGTTCGTTTACACCTACCATTGAGTACATGTAAAATGAGGAAATTACCTTTTTTTCTGGTGGTTGTCGAGGCCAACAAAATTAATAACCCTAATTATTACACACTAAAATAGTGTATAGCGGTAAAGGGATCGAATCCACGGAGATTGGTTCAATTTGATAACTCTATGAAAAATCTCTTTGTAAATTTTTTTGGAATATGACAATAAATTAAAAATGGGGGTTTTGATATTTTGAAATACTTGAAACAAACTAGAATTAACTCTGATTTAAATAGACAATTGCAACAAAAATAAGAGTTTGATGTAAAATCAATAAGGGAGAGATGGTTGACTTAAAGTTTCCTCACTTTGACTTTTGATGAACATATCATTAGAATCCATGGTACAATACTTTGATTTAAATCCTTAATTTGGCTATAGTAATCCAAGAAGCTTGAGATTACCTAGACTTTTCCTAGTTGTTAAAATGGTTAGAGAAGCTCATAACAATTTCCTTAGTCAAAGTCACAGTTTCCATTAAGCATGTAATTAGTGAAAGCCAACTAGCATTACGAACCAAAAAGTCACCAAATCCAAGAGTGGTCAAATGCTTTCACCACCATGTTGGAGGAAATGTTTTTAAGATTGTGTGAAGCAAAGACAACACAAAAATCATTTGTTGCTTGCTAATTTGAGGATCCTTTACTTAATCAAGAAATTAGCCACCTAATCACCACAAACACATTTAAACTCATGAATAAAAACATACTAGTAGTGATAATATGATAAAAAACAAAACATTTCCATAAAGATTTAAGAACAAGTTCATGGATTCTTCAACATTCAACAAAAGTTCAAAGGATTCAACAAAAAGTCAACCAAGATTAGTTTAGCCAAGCATGGATAAACTCAAAGAAACAAAGTTAGATGAGATTGTACCAAACATTTTACAATAATCAAGAGGTGAAATCAAGATGTTCTTGAGGTGTTCTTGGCCTTCAAAAGCACTCCAAAATCCAGAGAGAACAAGTCAAACTCGGACCTTCAAGATAAGGCTGAAGAGGCACACCAACCTTCCCAATATAGAGATCAAAGTAAAATCCCGAAATTGCCCTTGTCAGGAATCCACGCGGGGCGCGGGTAATCTTACGCGGGTCGCGGGCTTCGACGGGATTTTTGGGCTTCTTCAAGTCTTGGGCCCCCACAGCTAATCCATTGGCCCAGTTCGAATCCAATCAGCTCCTAGCCCATTTTTCTTCAATATTTCTTCAATTAAAGCCCAATTTGTCTTTCCACATCACTCAAAACTTCCGCAAACTCTTAAACATCGATCTTGCACACTCAAGAATTCTCTCGCGCCCTTTCAAATTTAAAGTTTAGCACTTCTGCACCTTCAAGCAATCGACAAGCCTACTCCTTGAATCACCTCCAAAGCTATCAAGATGAAATCCCCACTGCTCTTCAAGTCCAATTGCCTTCCAAAAGATCCCCGCACACTCCCGCTCCTCTAGTTTCCGTAAAATCTGCAATAATGCTCAAGAAACTAGAAAGTACCCAAAATGGTCATAAAAATAACAAAAAGGAAAATATGCATAGAAATTAACTAAAATGCGAATGAAATGTGCTAAAAACTATAAAAAGAAGTAAATAAAATTAAGCTATCAAATCACCCCAAGCTTAAACCTTACTTGTTCTCAAGTAAGACAAGACTAAAATGAACTTGGGACGAACTACCCTAGGGAAAACAAAAAGAATGGATAGAACCGCGGAACCTGATCCCCATTAGTCAACATGGTCAGAATTGATCTTGCTATTACCTCATGAAGTTTTCATCCGATGACAATTAGACCATAAACCACAGCCAGGACAACTCCTTTAGGTGAGTAAGGAGGGATGAGCAGTCGCAGCCCCACTAGAACATGCATACAATGAAGAACATCTGTAGTAGGGAGAAAGCAGTTGGATGGGCTCATGTGGAGCTCTTCTTTAAGTGTACACTCTGATCTTACATCTTTCGGTTACTCTCATGTGTAATTGGGTTTGATCACTAGGGCACCGTTGTAGGAATCAATTCACTTAGTGTTGGCCCAAACCTCTCGTAGTATCGGACTCAACAATCTCCCTAACATCACCAATTTGCTAAAAAACAACTCGATCTATATACAATAAAACAAGCCTATATAAATGAATATCAAACGGCGGGTGACCAAAATGTTGGAAAATTTGTTCAATAATTGAACCGGTCACCTTTCTCAGATAGTTGCAACTAGAAATTTGTCTTCCATTTTTTTATTTTTTGTTATTTTTTTTTGTTTTCGTACTTGAGGGTAATGTATTAACAATTGAAATTTTTAACAAGAAAACCCTTTGGCTTAAAATTAGGTTCTCAAAAGTGTGAAAGTGGAACCGAAAAGGTAGTGATATAATCCGAATGGCCTATGTGTGAAAAATGACCATGTGTGGAGCATAAAGATGTAATGTAAGCTCCTTTTCAAACTTGTGATTTTTCAAAGATGATGAAAATGTCCAAATGTGGACTAAAAGACTCTAAAATTCTAAGAAAATCGCAAAAAGGGTATGGTGATGTAAAGAGACAAGATATGGATACTACTCGGGGACAAGCACCAATGCTTCATCCTAACAGTTCAAACATGATCAAGTGTGATCCTCTCAGCGGTAGTGACCGCAAGGCTAAGAACATCCATTGCTATAGTATATCCTACAGTTGTTAGTATTGTATGCATAATTCTTCATGAAACTACCTGGCCATGATCACTTACCCGTTTAAGCTTCCAGCATCTGATCCCAAGTATGAAATCCCAAACTGCAGCCAATGGTCTCGGTTCGATGGGTGAGATAACAACAAGATCCTGGACCAATAATGATACAATAACTGTGAACCTGTTCCATAGTTTCCAAGGAGGTGAGAATAAATAGACAACAAAAATGCATGAATGCTAATGCCTTAAGCTAAATGTTTTGCAAAAATATAAAAAGTGAAAAAGAAGAAAATAAAATATTTTTGGAATTATATATATATATATATATATATATATATATATATATATATATATATATATATATCACTACTGTAAAAATCCCGACTAGGTCCCGATTAATCTCCGATTAATCCCTAGGCGCTACTCGACCGATTAGAGGACGCCTAGCGATTAATTCCTACATACATAATGAGTGAAACATTATAAAACGATGAAATATTAACATTTTGAAGAAAGTTTATTTCAATGGAAACAATTTGAGCAATGATTAGTGTTGTATTAATCATATTAACCTATTTTTTATCATATTAGTGGCATTTACGAACTTTGATATGATATTAGTCGTATTTAATTTTTTAAAATTCAACATTTTAGCAATTAATGGTCCCCGATTAATCCCCGGATAAATCTCCGCCTAGCCGATTAATCTCTTGACCCCAGTCCACCGACTAGCTAACGTCGAGCGTTTTTTACAACCTTGATATATATATATATATATATATATATATATATATATATATATATATATATATATATATATATATATAATGAATGCAAATTAGCTTAAAACTAAAATGTTATGCAACCTAGTTAAAAAATGCATGAAAAAAGTAAATGAAAAAGGAAATGCCCCACCCCAAGCTTAAGAACAAGCATTGTCCTCAATGCTTAAGGAAATGGCGGAAACGACCATAATCGGAGGGTAGGGTAGAGCATAAGAGTTTGTAGAGGAGAAAAAATTGTGAATAATGGTGGTGGTCTCGCGGGATTCCGACCGGTAGATCTCCGGGAAATCGAGTTTTTGTATGGAGCGCGGACGGGGCGCGGACGGGGCGCGGGCCGCGTGTTGGGCGCGTCTAGTTTTCTCGAAATCTCATTGATTCTTCCGACCTTTCATGTGGGCCGCGGGTTGGCCGCATGGAGGCCGCGGGACCTGAAGCTTGAAAATGGCAAAAAAATCGGAAATATGCGCGGGCCACGTGGAACCCGTACGATGGCCGCATAAAGTCTTACGCATGCCGCATGGAACCCGCTCACTGGTCGCGTGTGCTGAACAGGGTTGGAGGTGATTCTTCTATGCGTGCAAGGAATGGGTCGCACATAAGCCACACAAGACCTTACGCGGGCCGCGTGACTTCCTGCACTTCAAAATTTGAAATTTTTCTAAAAACTTGATTTTTGGCCAAAATGATTCCCGCAAAGTCCCAGGTTTCAAAAACACACCAAAAAGTTTGGACCAAAGGCAAGA